GGGAGTCCTTACAGGCACGGCCTTCTTCCAGGGAACCCTAGGTAAATCATTGTAAGGTGTAGTTCATGGTAATAAGACGATGAACACTGAGAAGTAACACACTGACGTACACCAGTAGTGGTACAAGGCATTTAAAAAATGTACAATGCACATCCATGATGCAGGACGTACAGGTACAATATAATGTACAATGCTGGAAAGTGAAATCCAGCCGGCGGGAAAGTACCAGTTCCGGACTGTACAACCCGAGTACTGTGAACAGTGCGGGGCTGTGCAGTGAACCGTGACTCTACTCTATTCGTGGGGGTTGGATTTCATTTCCCAGCACCCTGTTGTAAAACTCAACAGCTACATTGCACACAAAAGCATTCTTTAGGTCAATATCTTTAGATTTTGATCATCAAGACCACCCTGAACCTCTAGATTTTGTCTCCAATTCAGCAATCGAGTGACGGTCACTGTTGCTGGCAACCATCATTATTTTTATAATGAAGCTGAGTGGAGTGCCATTCAAGATTTAAAAATAACATGGACACAAAGTGATTCTGAATATATGTACACACCAACCTGCTTTGATAGTGACTGTCACAGTTGTAGATAGTTGCTGGGAAGCATGAACACATCTTTGGGTCACACTTTGTGGACGCGTAGGCGATGACCTTGTTGCAGTGCAGTCAAAACCTTGCGTGTACCTCGTTGTACAGGTTACATTGAAGGAATACGATGATGCATCAATGTCATTCAGTTGCGACACAATCCTTTTATCATAAAGCTTGAAGGTGAACGTGGAATGAACCATATTTGGAGGGTTCGTTGTCCGGATAACCGGCATTTCCAGCGCTGGTGTTGACCTCCATGATACATTGAGTTGAAAATTCCCAACAGACATGCAATGTATGCTTCGATTGGCATCTCTGGAAATCAGTTGCTGGGATGTGGGGAATGCTGAATGGACTTGTCGGGCTGTGCAAAGAAAAGGACACAATAATGGATAGAGTGAAGACTTGAAAAATAGAACCTGATCGGAATTTCAAAATTTAGGACTTGATGGAGAGTTGCAAAGTATTAGGAAATTAGGCCAGGTGCCTCGTACTGCTCTTTTTCTCTCCGAAACTCAACACTTGCTAATCAGATACGAAAGAAAGAAAGACCTCATCAGTCACACCGCCAGGATTCGAACCAGGGATCTTCGCGAGCAAGGTCCCTGGTTAGAGTTAGTCCCATATTAGCTGCAGTATGTGAAAGTGAAAAAACAAAAAAAACAAGCGCCCTACATCAGAGCATCCGGACACGAGTCCGTGTATGGATGATGCGGGGGAAAGCATATGGGGTGCAGTGACAGACGTACAGCCAGCACGCAACACAGAGTGAGCACAAACCATGAGGGGAAATGACGTATTATTCATGCCGAGATGCGAGTATAGGTCATGCACAAGTGCTACAAAACTAAGCTATTGTTCTGTCGAACATAAATACTCCAAGATAGTCGGAGACCAGGTTCTAGATGCGCTTATGAAAGAATATTCGGGACGAGAAAAAGTGGTCGGATCGATAAGGTTGTCGAAGACTCAAGTTTCACTGTGCGGTAATGTAGTGTTATTTTGTATCACACATGTGCAATAGTCAGGTGTACACACACACACACACATGTACAATAGTCAGGTGTACACACACACACATGTACAATAGTCAGGTGTACACACACAAATGTGCAATAGTCAGGTGTACACACACACACACATGTGCAATAGTCAGGTGTACACACACACACACATGTGCAATAGTCAGGTGTACACACACACACATGTGCAATAGTCAGGTGTACACACACACACACACACACACATGTACAATAGTCAGGTGTACACACACACACACACATGTACAATAGTCAGGTGCACACACACACACACATGTGCAATAGTCAGGTGTACACACACACATGTGCAATAGTCAGGTGTACACACACACACACATGTGCAATAGTCAGGTGTACACACACACACACACACACATGTGCAATAGTCAGGTGTACACACACACACACACACATGTGCAATAGTCAGGTGTACACACACACACACACACACACACACACACACACACACACACACACACACACACACACACACATGTGTACATACACTATGCCTCCGACTCCCCCTCTTCAGTCCTTGCCACCACAGTTCGTTACTCCACCACGTCACTTGGCCAACCCTCTCATCCCGCAGGAAGCTCAAGCAGCTACTCTTTGCACACACCATCGCTGTCAAACGACCCCCGCCACACATCCAGCTTGCGACCTCAGGCTACATCACCGAGCCACCAAGCCGAGAATTGAGGCGTCATCGAGTCTTTGCCCGCCCCACCACCCACTCAACCCGCCTTCAACGTTCACCCTTGTACTTAGCATGCACTCAGTACAACCACCTGCCACCACACTGTTACTCCCTCCGAGAAATACATGCATTCAAAAGAGAAGTTACCCCGATCATAGTATCATCAATTTGCACATGCTCCAACCCCCGCTGCAGCCCAGCCTAGGTATAGCATTTTAATCAAGGTCTATCGCCTACCTGCCTTCGCAATGGATATACTTCCTTCCTCGTCTTTACTTAAATGAAGCACCTAAGCCACGGCTGCCACTAGCCACTGTTTCTCCCAGTTTATTGCACCCACTCTGATTGATAACACATAGTACTGTGTCTCTCTTATTGGCTACGGCCATCGTGAGAATAAAGATAATAATACATGTAATATTGCGAGTGAGACCCAAAGCTAATAAATCATTTCTCAATTTCATTCTCCTTTCTACTCCAGTAGCCATACTGTACAGTACACAGTCAGTAGGAGATTATTGCACAGAAAATAGGAAATGGTTTTAAACTTACCTACAATGTTGAGTTGATACGTTTGGGTTGAGTTGTTATCCACTGTTCTACAATGATACAGTCCAGTGTATGAAGTGTTCAGTATAGGATGTACTGTGCTGTTCACCAGTAGTATTCCAAACACTGCGAAGGACCCTAACTCAGCCAACACTAGACTACCATCAGTCTTCTCTAGTCGAATGAATGGTCCTGATCCACTGATCACAACACATGCAGGTAAGTAATCGGTAACTTTGGCTGTAGGTTGTCCATCACCAAATGTCACTCTGTATGGTGCTAATTGCCGTGTACCAGTAGCAGATAGACCGACAGTTTGACCTGCATGGGCATACACAGGGGTACAGTGTCACAATGCTAACTCAATACATCACTACCAGCAATGACAATGACCTGACAATACTATCATAATGCTAACTCAATACATCTCTACCAGCAATGACAATGACCTGACAATACTATCATAATGCTAACTCAATACATCACTACCAGCAATGACAATGACCTGACAATACTATCACAATGCTAACTCAATGCATCACTACCAGCAATGACAATGACCTGACAATACTATCATAATGTTAACTCAATACATCACTACCAGCAATGACAATGACCTGACAATACTATCACAATGTTAACTCAATACATCATTACCAGCAATGACAATGACCTGACAATACTATCATAATGCTAACTCAATGCATCACTACCAGCAATGACAATGACCTGACAATACTATCATAATGCTAACTCAATACATCACTACCGGCAATGACAATGACCTGACAATACTATCACAATGCTAACTCAATACATCACTACCAGCAATGACAATGACCTGACAATACTATCATAATGTTAACTCAATGCATCACTACCAGCAATGACAATGACCTGACAATACTATCATAATGCTAACTCAATACATCACTACCAGCAATGACAATGACCTGACAATACTATCATAATGCTAACTCAATACATCACTACCGGCAATGACAATGACCTGACAATACTATCACAGTGTTAACTCAATACATCACTACCAGCAATGACAATGACCTGACAATACTATCACAATGCTAACTCAATACATCACTACCGGCAATGACAATGACCTGACAATACTAGCACAATGCTAACTCAATACATCACTACCAGCAATGACAATGACCTGACAATACTAGCACAATGCAAACTCAATACATCACTACCAGCAATGACAATGACCTGACAATACTAGCACAGTGCTGCAGTTGCATTAGCCTTCACACAAACATCAGAGAAGCAAACAACATTGATATCTGACACACATGAAAATAATGACATTGCCAGAACCAAATTCATCCACCATAATAGATCTTACCATTGCAGCCTGTCAGCAACAGGGGACAGAAGAGAAGCAAGCAGCCAATCAGGACACCTTCACAGTGGGACACAAAAAGAGAAAATGAGAACAGAGATCTCATTTTTTTCGCAGCCGTGGTCGCAGCCATTTTCGCCAGCTGTAGTCGCAGCCATTTTCGCAGCCGTTGTCGCGAACATTTTTTCGCAGCCGTGCTAACAGTCATTTTCGCAGCCGTGGTCGCAGCCCTTTTTTCTCAGCCGTGGTCGCAGCCATTTTCGCAGCCGTGGTTGTAGCCATTTTCGCAGCCGTGGTTGAAGCCATTTTTTGCAGCCGTGGTCGCAGCCATTGTTTCGCAGCCGTCGTCGCAGCCATTTTCGCAGCCGTGGTCGCAGCCGCGGTCACAGCCTTTTTTTCGCAGCCGTCGTCGCAGTAATTTTCGCCGCCGTCGTCGCAGCTATTTTCGCATCCATGGTCGCAGCCATATTCGCAGCCATTTTTTCGCAGCCGTCGACGCAGCCATTTTCGCAGTCGTGGTCGCAGCCATATTACGCAGCCGTGGTCGCAGCCATTTTCACAGCCGTGGACGCAGCCATTTTTTCGAAGCCGTGGTCGCAGCCATTTTTCGCAGCCGTGGTCGCAGCTATTTTCGCAGCCGTGGTCACAGCCATTTTCGCAGCCATGGTCGCAGCCATTTTCGCAGCCGTCGTCTCAGCCATTTTGTCGCAGTCTGTGCCGCCTCCATTGTCGCAACTGGTTTCTGTTTAGCAGTTATCGTCGCAGTCTGTGCCGCCTCCGTTTTCCCAACCGTTTTCTGTGCCGCAGTCGTCGTCGCAGTCTGTGCCGCCTCCGATGTCACAACCGTTTTCTGTGTCGCAGTCCTCGTCGCAGTCTGTGCTGCCTAAGTTGTCACAACCGTTTTCTGTGTCGCAGTCGTCGTCGCAGTCTGTGCCCCCTCCGTTGGCACAACCGTTTTCTGTGTGGCATTCGTCGTGGCAGTCTGTGCCGCCTCCGTTGTCACAACCGCTTTCTGTGTCACAGTTGTCGTGGCAGTCTGTGCCGCCTCCGTTGTCACAACCGTTTTCTGTGTCGCAGTCGTCGTCGCAGTCTGTGCTGCCTCCGTTGTCACAACCGTTTTCTGTGTCACAGTCGTCGTCGCAGTCTGTGCCCCCTCCGTTGGCACAACCGTTTTCTGTGTCGCACTCGTCGTGGCAGTCTGTTCCGCCTCCGTTGTCACAACCGTTTTCTGTGTCGCAGTCGTCGTCGCAGTCTGTGCCGCCTCCGTTGTCACATTTGCTGCCTACATGTATGTCACAACCGCTGTTTGCAATGCAGACATTTTTTCCCAGCCGTCGTCGCAGCCATTTTCTAAGTCGTTGTCGCAGCCATTTTTTTCGAAGCCGTGGTCGCAGCCATTTTCGCCAGCTGTGGTCGCAGCCATTTTCGCCAGCTGTGGTCGCAGCCATTTTCGCAGCCGTTGTCGCGAACATTTTTTCGCAGCCGTGGTAGCAGTCATTTTCGCAGCCGTGGTCGCAGCCCTTTTTCTCAGCCGTGGTCGCAGCCATTTTGTCGCAGCCGTGGCCGCAGCCATTTTTTCAGCCGTGGTCGCAGCCATTTTTTGCAGCCGTGATCGCAGCCATTGTTTCGTAGCCGTGGTCGCAGCCATTTTCGCAGCCGTGTCGCAGCCATTTTCGTAGCCGTGGTCGCAGCCATTTTGTCGCAGCCGTGGTCGCAGCCCTTTTCGCAGCCGTGGTTGCAGCCGCGGTCGCAGCCATTTTTTCGCAACCGTCGTCGCAGTAATTTTCGCCGCCGTCGTCGCAGCTATTTTCGAATTCATGGTCGCAGCCATTTTCGCAGCCGTGTCGCAGCCATATTCGCAGCCGTGGTCTCAGCCATTTTTTCGCAGCCGTCGACGCAGCCATTTTCGCAGTCATGGTCGCAGCCATATTACGCAGCCGTGGTCGCAGCCATTTTCGCAGCCGTGGACGCAGCCATTTTTCCTAGCCGTGGTCGCAGCCTTTTTTCGAAGCCGTGGTCGCAGCCATTTTTTCGCAGCCGTGATCGCAGCTATTTTCGCAGCCGTGGTCACAGCCTTTTTCGCAGCTGTGGTCGCAGACATTTTCGCAACCGTGGTCGCAGCAATTTTGTCGCAGTCTGTGCCGCCTCCGTTGTCGCAACCGGTTTCTGTTTAGCAGTTATCGTCGCAGTCTGTGCCGCCTCCGTTTTCCCAACCGTTTTCTTTGTCGCAGTCGTCGTCGCAGTATGTGCCGCCTCCGTTGTCACAACCATTTTCTGTGTCGCAGTTGTTGTGGCAGTCTGTGCTGCCTCCGTTGTCACAACCGTTTTCTGTGTCGCAGTCGTCGTCGCAGTCTGTGCCCCCTCCGTTGTCACAACCGTTTTCTGTGTCGCAGTTGTCGTCGCAGTCTGTGCCCCTTCCGTTGGCACAACTGTTTTCTGTGTCGCAGTCGTCGTGGCAGTCTGTGCCGCCTCCGTTGTCACAACCTTTTCTGTGTCGCAGTCATCGTCGCAGTCTGTGCCGCCTCCGTTGTCACAACCGTTTTCTGTGTCGCGTCGTCGCAGTCTGTGCCGCCTCCGTTTTCACATTTGCTGCCTACATGTATGTCACAACCGCTGTTTTCAACGCAGACATTTTTTTGCAGCCTTCGTCGCAGCCATTTTCGCAGCCGTCGTCGCAGCCATTTTTTTCGCAGCCGTGGTCGCATCCATTTTTGCAGCCGTGGTCGCAGCCATTTTCGTCGGCTGTGGTCGCAGCCATTTTCGCAGCCGTTGTCGCTAACATTTTTTCGCAGCCGTGGTCGCAGTCATTTTCGCAGCCTAGGTCTCACGCCTTTTTTCGCAGCCGTGGTCGCAGCCATTTTCGCAGCCGTGGTCGTAGCCATTTTCGCAGCCGTGGTCGCAGCCATTTTTTTGCAGCCGTGGTCGCAGCCATTGTGTCGCAGCTGTCGTCGCAGCCATTTTGTTGCAGCCGTGGTCGCAGCCATTTTCGCAGCCGTGGTCGCAGCTATTTTTTTGAGCCGTGGTCGCAGTCATTTTCGCAGCCGTGGTCGCAGCTATTTTCGCAACCGTGGTAGCATCCATTTTTGCAGCCGTGGTCGCAGCCATTTTCGCAGCCGTGGTCGCAGCGATTTTTCGCAGCAGTGGTCGCGGCCATTTTCGCGGCCGTAGTCGCAGCCATTTTCGCAGCCGTGGTCGCAGCCATTTTCGCAGCCGTGGTCGCAGCTATTTTCGCGGCCGTGGTCGCAGCCATTTTCGCAGCCATGGTTGCATCTATTTTTGCAGCCGTTGTCGCAGCCATTTTCGCAGCCGTTGTCGCGGCCATGATCGATACGCAACTGCTGCCTGCGTCGCAGTCATTTTCACAGCCGTTATTTGTGCTCAGTTGTTGTCTGTGTCGCAACCGCTGCCTGTGTCACAGTAGTATTCGCAGCCTTTGTCGGCGTCTCGGTCATTGTCGCAATCGTTGCCTGCATCGCAGTCGCTGTTGCAGCAGTTGTCTGCGTCACAATCCTTGCCTGTGTCTCGGTCGGTGTCACATCTGTTCGACTATAACTCTAGATTGCCTTGGAATTTTGGGTTCAAATTTTCACAGTTCGTTTCTCACATCTTCCAGGTGTAGAAAACTAGCATTTTATGCGAAACTCGCGAATTTGGTTTTTCAATTGAAGTCCCTACTTGATGGAGTATTGTTCGTAGCTTGTTCGTATACGCTGTGGTGTGACTCCTTTGTAGACCCATAAATAATATGATTTTTAGGCCATTTCGAGATTCAAGGTTCAAGATTCCCTTCAGAAACTTTTTCAAGGGCTTTGCAATCGATCTACACCCCAAAGGGAACATACCTGCAACTTTTCAGCGAAATCGGAGAGATCCACTTGCACACATACTTTGGTATTCTCAGACATGCTCTCTTAAAGGGTAAGTATACCCTAATACAGTCGTCCCTCTCTAATCCGGCACTTTATAATCCAGCACCCTCGATAAACCAGCACAATTTTCAGTAGCCACAATGTCCTCTTCATGCACATTGCAGCAGTAAATCAGATTTGTTAATCCAGCACCCTCCCTAATCCAGCAGATTTTCGTGGCACAAATGGTGCCGGATTATAGAGGGACCACTGTATCAAATTTTCACCAATTGTAGTCTTCGGGGTGCTGAGTCGAATGATCTTGGTTCGAGGACGCTGACACGCTCCCTTTCTCCTTTATTCCCAATCAAACTCGCGCACTTCCACCGAAACAGGGTGACTGCGCCCTACTAGATAGGGATTTGTATGGAAAAAGTCACTAAAAACGCCGTTTCCTTCTCATAAAAGTACGGATGACCGCGATTGGTCCATAGGTTGTAGTCTTTTGGCCGCTGAGTCGACTGGTTTTGGTCCAAAAAGGCTGCGATGCAGCGTTCGGCCCTTATTCCCAATCGAACACAGTTGAGTAAGCTGTCACGAGCTCATGCGTACACCAGTTGCCTGGTCACCGTGCCTGCACTGGCTGCAGGCTACAATTTTCACATCAACGTTCAACTCAAAGGTTCAAAGCAGGGAGTTGTAAGAGGCTTTTGCGACTCCCTGGTTCAAAGGTTCAACTCGAGTGACATAAACGGGCCCAAATGTAAATGAGCACATGACCGCTTACTCAACCGTGTTCGATAGGGAATAAGGGCCGAACGCTGCATCGCAGCCTTTTCGAACCAAAACCAGTCGACTCAGCCGCCAAAAGACTACAACATACGGACCAATCGCGGTCATCCGCGCTTTTATAAGAACGAAACGGCGTTTTTAGTGACTTTTCCATACTAATCCCTATCTAGTAGGGCGCAGTCACCCAGTTTCGGTGGAAGTGCGCGAGTTTGATTGGGAATAAAGGAGGAAGGGAGCGTCTCAGCTTCCTCGGACAAAGACCATTCGACTCGGCACCCCGAAGACTACAACTGGTGAAAATTTGATTTTAGGGTATACTTCCCCTTTAAGTTTTTTTGGACCTTAGCGGATCCAAAGGATCCACTCAATCAATCAAGATCCGGATCCAACCAAACGAACATGCCCTAAGCGAGTTCCACGTTACGTCCAACCTCATACCTGCGCTGGGAAGCTGGCCTCTCCGCGACATCTACCCAGCAATTTCTAATCCAACACTACTCCCATCGCTGCAGAGCAAACTATACTGAGGAAAGGTTTCAAATTCAAAAAAATGCAGGCAAAACCTCAGTCAGTTTGGCATCAACTGGCGCACCGGGAAAATGTTGGGGTTGGAAGGAGAATCTTGTCATTTGGAGTGACAAGTGATCACCGCTACTTTTCCCTGTACACTTTGTTCTGCAGTGTAAGGAGCAGTTTTGGAGTAGAAATTGCTGACTAGACCAGCTTTCCAGAGCAGGTGTGAGTTTGAACGTATGTCAGCATGGTAGTGTAGAAGAAAACAAAAATTATACTTCAAGAAAAGCCAAACAGGATGATCGGGGACATTTCCTCAGTACCAGAAAATGTGTTCTTCTATCTGCCGATATATAGTCCGTGCGAATTGCAGACGTAGCTTGCTGTTTTATCATCGCTTGTATATCGGCTGTTTTCGACATTGTTACTTGTTACGTCAGGGGTGCTGGCTCTAGTCTTCTTTGATGCTGGCGTGGCCAAGCGATGCTACTTCCCGGACCTCTTTTAAGGTGAGGAGGTAATGTTAGCTTGATTTAGTTTTGTTGATAGTTTATTTTGTGTACGCGCCTGTGGTGTGGTTTGGTTCTACACACATACACATACATTATGGGATTTTAGGTACGCCATTTTTCAGAGGTACGCCATTTTCAAGGGATTTTCACAGTCGCTTAACACCTGAAAAGGAAACTTAACTGCAACATTAGAGCGAAAGAGGAGAGATCAACTTGCACACTTGTTCTGGTTTTCTCAGACATGCAGTTTCGTAATAGTTGCACCTTCTGTGTTTAAAGTACTGCTTACCCAAGCAAAGTCCTAAACAGGCCATACCACTCCTTTGCCCTGTCAGCAAAACATAGCACAAATACAAAAGAACGTACTTTGATAGAACGTTATGTAGAACCAAAGCTTGCACACATACATACGTACACCTGACCACACACTACACACACTACACACACTCATGCATGCAGACACAAATATCCCAGGCCCGTCGCATCGACTTTGGAGGTGGGGCGGCCATAGAAGGTGGGAGGGGGGGGGGTGGCCTCCCCGGCAAACAAATTTCAACAATTGAAGCCTATTGCAAGAATTTCCGGGCATTTGGTGCCATTTCCGTGGAACTACAATGAACGACCTTTTGATTCGGCAACAATCCAAGAAGACACTACGATCGGGGACAAGAATTTCTTCTTTACTGTATCCTCCGCCGGGGAAATATTTCAAAAATTGAAGCCAATTGCAAGCATTTTCAGGCATTTGGTGCCATTTCAGTGTAACTGCAATGAATGACGTTTTCATTCTGCAACAAACCACGATTGGGGACAAGCATTCTTCATTATTTGCCACGGTTGCACTGAGCTGCGAATATCGCGCTCTGTTGCCGTGTGCTCCGAAAAAAAGGCGAAAAAGTGGGGTGGCTGTGACGGCCTTGTCACATCCATCCATGCACAGGCATGCATACACAGAAACGATTCTGCTCCATTCATTTCGCAACCGGAATCGGAACTGCACTTAACAAACACTGTCACGTGCATCAAACAAATGCACCCGAACCAAAACACGGCGGAAGGACTTTGGAATGTTGTCGGAATGTCACCGAACAAACGCAACCTCATTTTCTCTACAGAAAAATGGAACAGATTACCTATAGAGGTCCGCTCCAGCACAACGCTGGACGTTCAAAGCTGCAGTGGTACCCCTTACACTATTGGTCCCAGACTGTGCATGTTGTATTCCTTGTTCAATACCGGCAACAGTAGCTCATGCCATGTTTGACAATGGATCAATACTATTGATCTCCAGCTGACTATCACATTTTTTCTCTTTTTTATTCCCACTTCACTACCTTCTTATTGGGAAGAAATGCCCGTTGGGATTTGAAAAATACAACAAAGTCAAAAAAAGAATTAGCCTGGTATACACCACACGGCTGGTTGACGTGGCTTTTCTGGCCAGTGAATGCTATTTTCTCTCTCTCTCTCTTTCTCTCTCTCTCTCTCTCTCTCTCTCTCTCTCTCTCTCTCTCTCTCTCTCTCTCGCACACACACAGGCACACCACCCCCACCCCCACCACATACACACATCTATATGGTGCGAAATACGATTCAATTATTATTTACGCACATTGTCGTATATGGCTCTTGTCTTGTAGAATCCAGTGTCTGACGTCATGGTCTAGTCTATCTGTGAGTATAGTAGGATGTGTGCCGTGTATTGTATGAGGTGCATGCAAGAGTGTGTATAGTCAGAGACTGACTTGCATTCGTAGTGCTAGCTTTGTCAGAGAGCGAGGGTGATCAGTGGTGCGTCCGTGGTCTGGTTGTCTTGGTCTGGGTCATGTGGTCTGTACGTATTCGTCCCTGGTTGGTCTTCGCATCATATCAGTGTGTACCCCCTTGAAGTTGAAGTACTCGACATGACTCCCAACCAGGGTACAAGCAACCCGGTGTTCTTCTTCCAAAACGGGTCCAAATACCCCCCCCCCCCCGCAACGGGTCACTGACCCCCGCTTGACCCGGCTCTGGAGCAGACACTACCGCGGACTATGGATGGAGTGCATGGAACATACAGTATACAGCACACAAGGCTGACAGCAGAGAGCCAGACCAGAACTAACAATTACCATTACAAGATCACGCATATAGCGTACAGCAATCAAAAGCAAAGCGCATTCATACATGCCATTCCTACCTGATGGTGGAGCTTGTCAACCAGATCCACATTCTTTGAATTCGCTGCCGACTATATCTTTGCTATTGTCGCTCTGTCTATCCTCTCACCTTTCTTCAACCCTCAAGTCTTCTGTAGAACTTCTTTCCAGTCGGTCTCTCTGCTCTTCTCTCTACGCTTCATCTCAACAACGTTTCTCTTCTCCATTTCTTCGTTCCTGTACTTCTCTAAACTTCTCTACTACCTGTATCTTTCATTAGTTAGTTCTCTTCGTTTGAATGATTTTCTTCAACATGATCATGATCATGACTTATGACTATGTAGTCGACTGTGTTTTGCACTTTGAGCTTGAGCTTGATTTTCTTTCCTGTCTTTTTTGCCGAATGTACAGTGCGCTAGTGCGCTGTCGACATGCCTATCATCCTGGTCATGTCGTGCACTACACACATCCACTCAGTCTGTCTGTCTACCATCATGGTCTACGTCTACAATCTAGTCGGTGCATGTGCGCACGTCACGTGCGCTGTGTGTGAATAATGCATGCAGCGCAGCTACTGTTGTAGACATGGAAATCCGGTCGCACGTCTAGCGGCCCCAGGGCGCTGGCCATGCAGCCGTGGACAAGCTGCACCCACATGCGCCGCATGCAGCGCTAGCGCGATCGTCGCAAGTGCACTGCACGGAGCGTTCTGTACGCGCGCTGAGGTCGCCGGCCCCGCGTCAATCGACTGGATTTCCATGTCAGCTACAGTACATGACATACATGTACATTACATACATACATGTGATTGTAGTCATCATGGTCATTGACATCATTTGTAGCTAGCTAGCCATGCGCTTTCTTTGCTGTTTCTGTGAGACGCGTGAGGGCGAAATGCTATGCCTCCATTTTCGTACATGATCTTGCCTCTTGGTGCGCGAAGCGCCGAGCCCATCTCCTGTCTTTTTTTTGTTCAGAGGTTTTCAGAATGGCTAGTACCAAGAGTAAATGCCCCTCCCCCCCCCCCCCCCCCCACCGTGAAAAGTGCAACAAGTATTTGCTGCAGGTTGAACTGGCAAACAGCCACCGAGTCACCGACGCCCTATAAAACGGTATAGACCAGCGCCTCGCTAGCGTCTTCCCTCCCTCCTCTCCTCTCTCATTCTGCATCTCTCATGCGCGACCATCTAGCATCTACCCATTGTCCCTTTTCCTTTCTATTATTTTTATTAATCTGTTTTTCTTCTTGAACTCTGTTACTCTTTCACGAATGCTTGATATTTCTGTGAGTGGGAGATCCCCTGGACAGGCCTAGAGCCTCTGGGTGATCCTTTTAAAACTTCAATAAATTGGTGTTTGTGCTTGGTGGGAAGTATACCTACACATACTACATTCCATTTATCAATGGGGCAAGGCATTTTACATTCAGTTTTCATTTATATCCAGAGACCTTTTGTCAGTCTTCTTGTTCGTCCCTTTGAGAGTAGTCTCCATTTCCGTCTTGTCAAAAATATAATGTTAAACACCAAAAAAATGCAACCACCATTCATTACCTCTTTCTCCTTCCCTCCTTCTTATCAACCACCACACCACACCGCTGCGCTCTCCGGCTGACCTCAATGCTGCCACTTACCCCTCTTGATCCTTCCGTCCTCATAAAATAAAAATAAAATATACAGCCATGGGCTGGTGTGTGTGGGGGGCCGGGGTGGGGGGGGGGGGGGGGTGTATGTAGTCCTACTGCCCCAAGTTGAACAACAAAAATGTATGACATGTACCACCAAGAGTACATAACCCCCCAGAGTGTGCAACGCCTGATCCAGCTCTGCATAGGATCTTGGTCGAGCGGAATCGGATCTTTGCGTCATAATACCGTACACATCTGAGGGGAACCCGGGGAGTCGCGGGTACTCTTGGATCAAAAACAATGGTGCCCTGCCTCGAGACCGGCCTTGCGCTGGTGTGAAGTGTACGCATGACATCAGAAGATCCGATTCCGCCCGACCAAGACCATACACAGAGCTGGATCGGCGTTGCACACTCTGGGGGGTTATGTACTCTTGGTACCACGACTTGTTTTTTGCTGCTACATGTACATGTTGTGGAAGAAGAAGGACATACACTGGCATTGACACAGGGATATTCATGGCTTACAGCTTGCGCTTGCCTTGCCGTCTGCGTACATACATGTAGTGATGTAGGTTTAGCTGATCGATCCTCTTCAATTTTCCCCTCCATTTAGCTCAAATTTCCTAGTGCGGACGAAGGAGTGGTTTTCCGTACAAATACGGAAAATGCTGAAGGTT